GTCCTTTCCATCTTAAAAGGATTTTCTTCCACATCTCTCTCTTTCAGAGTATGTGTGAGCCTGTCAGATTCAAAACATTTTGTGATTAATCCTCTTTTTTTGCTGGCATGATTACACAGACAGCAATGGGATTCCACCATCCTGAACATGGCACATTAATGGCGAATCAAACCGGTCCTACAGCTCGCAGAAAAACAACAGTTCACTAATTGCTTAAATTAACATGTTAAGTAACAATCTCCATTTCAAGCTGAAAAGATGGATGCAGATTCCTTTCCGAGTGAACAACAGAGCTGACCAGAATATTCAACCAAAACCTGACTGTCGACAAAAAAACGGAAACCCAAATTCCTGAACCAGACTGAGCTACACTGCGAGGCTTAAACCCAGTCCTCCCTTCCAAGAAGCGTGCTTTTAGTCATGCACTGAGTTTGTACAGACACCGAGATAGTTTCAGTTTTGCTGTGCACCCAGAGTTGTAAGAGGGCTGCTGTCAGCATCTGAACAAAACCAACCCTCCACCCAACTCCTTGCTAATCAAAAAAGATTGGTCAGATGGGCATGGGCTCATGGGAGGAGGAAGGGGGGTTGCCTTCCTCTGTAAGGTGGAGCACAATCATTTTCCTAGGATGTGTTAACCAGCCACTCTCTTTTTGTTGCACTGCAAAAGCAGTGGTAGTGGCTTCACCCCCTGCATTTCCTATGGCATGTATAGGCATTCTTGATGTTGTGCCTTCTAGTTGCAGGGCTTCGAAGTGGAAATACTGGGGAATCCTAAATTAAATTACTGCTGGCAAACCCAGGGGACCGGACTCAGGGCCCCAGGAGGCTGCTTGCAAGGGCTGCATCATGCTCTCAAATCCTTATACATAGAGGCATAACTAACAAGTGTTGTGTCTTGGGCAAAACCCCTGCCAGAGAGTGGAGGTGGCATGCCAAGAGGCTACCACAGCAGTCCCTGCACCCACTCCTACCACCACTGTCCCATTTGCCCTAGTTACGTTACTGCTTACTGGTTGCCCCACTCTCTTGCTCTACCTACAGATAATACATGTGAGACATTACACTGCCTACCCTTACTGCTGGCATGGTCTATTTAACCCAAAGCCTTTGGTAAATAAAACGCGCTGCAGAAAACTGTACCTGGTTTGCACTGAACCTCTGGGCACAGGAAAATAATCTTGCTGCGCCAAGGAAATCTGCATCCGATCCATTGTTAAATCTCCAGTCTTTTGTTCAGATGCACCTCTGGTACTTATTATATATTGCTTAGGGTGACCATATTTCTCTCGTCTCAAAATAGGACACCCCGCTTGCTGTCAGGATCAACTGCCTCTGAGCTCTGGTGTCAACTGAGCATGTAGGGGGAGCGGGGGCACGTTTTGGGAGTCTGAGAGAGAGAGAAACAGTCCCATTTTTGCCAGGATAGTCCTAGTTTAAACACCCATGTCACGCAGGCATCTCACTGAAAAGGGGACATAAGAGCTCATTTGATCAAACTACCAGGATGCCTGGGATAGTTTTTTTCAGACAAGACTGTCGCAGAAGAAAGTGGGACAAGCGCAACATGGCAGAGCGAAAGGACGAGAGAATCAGCAGAACTGTCCTCTGCCATCCGCCCTTGCTGCTATTTGAGGTGAGGTTTGATTCAAGGCCTTACCCGATGTAATTCAAGTTCATGATGCTCATCTACTTCAGGCCTAAGATGAAGCTTCCTCTGTTCATTTTCTCTGGCAGCATCTCCTAGAGTCCCTCTAGAGCTGTCTTTAAAGCCATGTTCCTCAACCAGGGTGCCTAGACACCCTGTAGTGCAAGGGGATCCTTTTAAGGGTGCCACAGACTATTACCACACCTAGGTATGCAAACACCTATCTACAATTCAGAAGATAAACCCAGAGATAACAAACAGGAATCTACTGAAAAATGCCCTGTTGTCTTCTTTCTGATTTCTTTGCAACAGAAGAACTACCCTCTTATTATTCCATAGTCAAGAAATGATTAAAAGCTAATGTTTTCTGACGGGAGGTTTGAGCCTAATGAGGATGACAGCCACTGCTTTAAGGTCTTTCTCAATGTGCAAATCTACCCTGCCTTCCCCAGGAAGGAACACAACCAACTACGTCTCTCGCTCTTCAGGTCATGTCACCTTGGATTATTTTAGCCTCAAACTCTCCATTTGCTCCTGTTGGCAAAACAGCTGCCTCTTCCCAAGACCCTGGGCACAGCTCTACTGGCATTACTGGCTGGGTCCTTGCCCTTCTCTTCCTTGTGACAGGCACCGTGCAGATAAAAGCAGAAAGATGCAATCTAAATAACCCGTGTCCCCCTGTAAAACCATAGTCACAAGTGACCATCTCTCAGGCCCCTGCTCCACAAAGACCCCACTACAGCGACTGGGTGCCAGGAAGCTTCTAAAACGCTCCCAACTTCCCTGCAAATCAATCCAGGCAAGGCACCTCCTAAAGCCTGGGCTGCAATTTGCGGGCCACATGAGGAAGCATCACATCCACACACCTCCTGGCATGGTGCGGCCCCTGCAAACTACTGTGATGTTGAGAAAACTATTATTTAGTAGGAGTGTGGACACCATTCAGCTTATGAGAGCATCACAGCACTGTGCTGCTTACTGTAATTTATAGTATAGATCACCCCCTGAGCTGTCTCCTCCCTGCTAACACAGACAGTGCCTGCACAGCCAGTTTGCAAACCAGACAGCAGCATGCAGCATGGGGCTAAGATTTCCTCGGCCTCCACCAGGACGGGAAGGGAGCACATTCCTGGACACGGCAGGAGACACGGTGACTCAGCCATCCCAATGGCCTGGTGGCAGGGCGCACAGGCGCGGCAATGCATCACGAGAGCTCTTTGATCAGGGCCCACCTGAAGCCTGCAGCAGTCCGGGTTGCGGCTGTGAGCTGTCACTGCCTCTGGCAGAGCAGAAAAGCTAAAAATGAGCTGGAGGAAGTTGCTAGAAAAATAAAAGCTGATGCTGGAAACAAACAGGCTCACCGAGAGCAGCATCAACAGCCTGAGCATTTGTGGGAGGACTGGAAGGCAGGTAGCACTCAGAGTAACTATAGCATCCCATCAGCATCCCATCTCCACGTTTACCTACCAGCTCCCAGCTGCCCACAATGCCCTGTACCTATTAAGGTTTATTTAAAATAAAGTCTCGCTGGCAAAGAAACCTTCTTCCCTGTGTTTGGACAGTAACTAGCACATGGCAACCCCTGCTCCATGCCTGGGGTTTGTACAACCTCCCACAGCAACAAAGATGGACTCAAATCAAACCTACAGATCCAAGCTCATCTCAACGTCGGCATGTTCAGTTGTTTAATTTCCTCTTCGGGTTCAAGTAGCTAATGGCAGCAATACTGCTCCTTGGGGGGTAAGATCTGTAGAGCTGGGACTTGCATCTTCAGACTGTCTGATGTATATAAGTGGCTACTGTGGTCATAGTATCTGGGCTCCTCACAGCCTGTAATACAAGTATCCTCCACACCCCAAAGCAGGAAAATGCTACTATCCCAATTTTATGACTGGGGAGCTGAGGCAGATGAGTGTTTGCCCAAGGTCATACAAGGACCCAGTGACAGAGCCTGGATCTGAACCTAAGGTTCACCGGTCCTCAGCTCACTCCTGGACCAGCTGCCTTCTCTAAAAGTAGATTTGACAGCTGAGATGTCAGGTAAGTGCTTAGCACATTTTGGCACCAAGATACAGACTGAGAAAACTGTCTGGCAGAGCTCATTTTCTCTACCTTAGGCTGACTCTGACTCTTTCCCAGACCCGAGGAAGGGCATTTTGTGCCCGAAAGCTTGTCTCGCAGCAATCCCAACTATTCAGTTGGTCCAATAAAAAGACATTACCCCACAAAATCCTTGCTCCTCACATATTCCCATCGCAACTATAGCACCGCTCCAACCCATCATTTTCCTAATTCGGCCTGACTCATCCACGCTAAAGATTATATCCCATTAATCCTAATTGTACCCTCTACTAAAGACAGTCCCAAAGCATTCCTTAATAACCTTGGTCTTCACAGCTTTCCAAAGCACACCGTTCATTAGGATTCTTAGCTGCATTTGCAATTTTGAAATAAGCTTGCAGGTTACTGAGTGAGTGTCAGCTGTCCATGTTCAGTTAGAGAGATTTCTGCCCTATGCAATGTTCTTAATAATTAATCAACTTATTAGCTTCTTATGAATACCAGTGGAAGCCATGCATGTGAACCAAGGCTGCACGGGTCTTTAAGATTTAATATGCATTTCTCAGCTCATTAAAAAAATTAACAACCCTCAGTCATAGCATCACTGTGGCATGGCCCAGGCCTGGTCATGAGTAAATAGTCCTTCCAGGCCTCTGGGATTTTGCTGGTGGTAGAAGGGCTAGAGGGAAGACCAGAACTATATGGGACCAGATAGTGCTCTCTTACACATCTCTGTGACTTCACAGAGTGCACATTTGCACCACCGAGTGAACAACAAATCCACAAGAAGAGCAGGCTGCCAGGTGGTGCCGCACAAGCTAGTTGCCCTCTCTCCCAGGTGCATGTTTCCCTCTTCCTCCCTGCAATTCCCATCCTAGTCATCAGCTGATCACAGCAGAAACTTCAGCGCTCCACACCCAGTATGCAAATCTGTGTCTGAACACAGACTTTCCTTTCATTTCAAACTGAAAGTCAGAGGGGTTTCTCCTATAGCCAGACATTTCGAGCTATTTTAAAAACATTTAGTGGAAAACACAGCTGACCAGATCGTTATGAAGCATCTGGAGTGCTGATATTCAGATGAACAAAAAAGCTGCCTCAAATCCAGTGTACAGCCTCTGCCTTATTTCTACCAGTCCTGCCAAGATCTGCAGAAGCCTGCCTAGCAAAATGTAAGCCTTCAAGGCTGCAAGTTCATCTGCTGGATCACAGGACACAATTTATACCAGCTCCTCTGTGACTTCAGCATCTTGGTGGAAACCCTCATTTTTGAATCGCAACCTTCACTAACCTGAGAGATATTGGACTGTGTTTTCTCGCTCTCTCCATCCCCTTCTGTTTTGTCAGTCAGCAGCCCTTGGACTTGGTACTCAAGGACATAACTGTCGATGAATCTCTCCAGCTCTTCAATTTCCTGAGATCGACTACTCCCTGCCTCAGAGGAGGCAGATGCCACAGAGGAGTTTTCCATCACTCCAGGAGAGGAACCAAGGATGGAGGAAGCCTGGGAAAGAGAGACAAGAGCAATTCATTTCTCGATTCATAATGTTTGGCAGGCTTGCAATTGCATTACGAACATGTGCACAACTGGGGTCTACCTTAGGAATTCATCACAAACAGAGTGTCTCTTTTATTTTTCCAATTATCTTCTAACTACCCAAAAGAGGCTGGGTGACGGCAAAGGTGCATCATAGCCCTGCCATGCCGGTTAGCAGGAATGGTCCCTTTTGTCGGCTGCATCCGAGTTTCCAATGCCCGTGAGTATGACTGTTGGCCTAAGAGAGAACACAAGTCTGGAGGCCTCCGACTGCCAAGGACTCCCCTAGCAAGTGACAGATGCACATAAAGCAAAAGATAGAGTTTTATTCTCTGCAAGTGGGCACTGAAGGCAATTGCCAGGGCCCAACCGGGCTCCTTATAATGGAGAAGGGACAGCTCTGCAGTCCAAAACCATGGGAATAAAGGCTCCAAAACATACACATTAAAAACATATCCACACCTCTTCTTTTTTCCAACTGTATTCCCCAACTGTCTGGACCCATTTGTCATCATTTGTCTTGCACTCATATTGTAAGCTCTTGGAGGCCGAGGCTTTATTTTTGTTCTGTGTGAAGTGTCTTGGGGTGGGGGGGTCCCAGTCCATAATTAGGCTGTTTGGTAATACAAAGACATTGCCATGCCATCTGGTACAATTTAACTCTTAATGCCCATGGATCCAAGAAAAGTGAATGGTGACAAAGTTTACTTTGCTATGACGGTGAAAACAGTCTGTGCTAAACCTAACAGAAACAAGCAAGAAAGCACATCCTCAGCATTATTCTAGCTGTGCTGCTAAGAGAGGGATGGTAAGGCACCGGGTAACAGCTGAGAGGGGCAAACAGAAAGGTGAGGGCTACATGGAGAGGATAAACTGGTAAATAATGGATGGGCTGGTAGTACCAAAAGAAATGCAGAGTCAGCACCTGTGCTTTTAAATGACCCAGCTAGCAGGGGGGGCACAGTGCAATGGAACAGAAAGGTCATGTCAGGTTTTTTTTGTTAAGAGTTTATAGCAGCAAAAAACATATATTATACCAGAAAGGCGGAGAAAAAGACATGTTCTGCATGAGCCAGCTTGCTGGAGACACCAGGGAAGCAGTATATGTTGGGATCTCATTACTCAGCCTGAATTTATGCACCTAGCATGGTGGTAGGAGCAAAGTGACCTGCTGTGTACAGAGAAAGTCTTTAAAGGCAATATTTCAGCCGGTCCTTCTGGGCAGCCCAAGCTAGATCCTTCTACCTGCTCCCAGCTCCCAGTCACACCAGGGCGAGTCTGGGACACCCAGCTCCACTCCTAGATCAAATCTGCTTGTTCCACATGGTAAGGAATAAAGTATATTCAGCCTTTCTACAGCACACCTTTAATCCAAATCTGAAAGGAAATTCCCACAGATAGCCATGTATTTAATCTGAGGTTGGGGCTTTCCATTTCCATTTCCAATCATAGGGTCACATAAGGGACCCCAAGAGTTATCCAGTCTGACCATGACACAGACAAGACACTATTTCTTAGCCGTCTCAGTCTCAGAGACGACTTGCCTTTTTTCTCTTGAAAATCTCTACTGAAGGAGATCCCATAACTTCCCTTGGCAGCTTGTTCCATCTTCTGGACGATGAATCAACATTCATGAATAATTTCCATGATTTCCTGACTTACCTGTTAGATACTAGGATGGATCTCCTCTGAATGAACTGCAGATAAAACAATTCCTCTCTTCCTGCATACAAAGACATCTCGCTTTTAATTGTCTTAGTGAATGGAGCAAGCCTTGCCCCACTGGATCACACAGTCCATCTAATCCTGGGGGACTCATTTACCATGAGGTGAACCACCTGTTCCCTTGAGAGAGCCACAACACAAAGGGCAGGTGCAATGAAGGAAACTTCTTGAATCCTGCTGGCGATCAAGGCTGAAGTACCGACACAGAGCACTGCTGGGAATGTGATTAATGTACTACTAGGCCACCTTTTCTGAGAGTCAACTGCACAGGTTAACTTCATAGTGATTAAAATGAACTTGGGAAACCTGAGATCCTACTCCCAGCTCTGCTACTGTCCTGATGGATGACCTTGACCTCTGTCCCTCACTTTTCCCATCATAAAATAGGGATATGTCTCCTGACTTTCCCTGTAAAGCACTATGAGATCTATGGATGAAGAGTGCTATTGAAGAAGCAGGTGTTAATGTGACAAATGCCTTCACCAAGTCTTATGTTATGCAACCCAGAAAATTTCTTTGTTATACTCAGCTCTGCCATCCATGCCAGGAAGGCCAGTCCTCTCTGTCTTCTCCTTGCAAGCCTAAATTGGCTCAGGCTTTGCATGCTCTGAAAGTCTGCTCGTGCCCTCTGCCTGCCTGCACAAGGCTGGCTCCTTTGTGTATCTGCTTTCCCCAAGCCCAACAAGAGGCCATGAAAGAAAGCTGTTTGCAGAGAGAAACTGCTTTCAGTCTGGAAGGCAAGAAACACACCATGCAGCAGCCACTCCCCTGCAGTGCCTGTTAGAGGGCATGTGAGACATGGGAGTGCCTACACTGCAGTAACTGCAGCAGCAGGGGACACAGGCCTGGGCTACGCAGCCTTTGCACCCGTGTAACCATGTCATCACAGAAATTAATTATAGCAATTAAGAGCTGGAAGGGACCTCAAAAAATCATCAGAGGGTTCTTCATTACTTAATCTATGAGGGTGCAGATACATCAACATTAGTGGTCCTTATGCCTGTCCCGTCTACCTTATTATACTCCTCTGTCATACAGGAGTAAGCAATGCTGGCATGTGCACGTTTATGTGGCCACCTCTGTGACGAGGGGGGTACAACTCTTGCTTTCATGCCCCATGCCAGGGGCAGACACTGATTATTGTTTCATTACCGAAACAGTATTTTGCTTAAGTTCTTCTGGTGGCAATGGGGGTGATGTGGCAGCCATGGCCTTGCCTGCAGTATAGTTAGACATACCTCTGTTAGCTTTAAATAAGTCAGCTCAGGTGTCCCTTTAAGCACGGCAGATCTGCATGGGTTGCAAAAAAACACTTGAAAATCTTGGCAGCTATTTGAGAGTGAGCATGAGCCTGTACTCGGTGCTATTCTGCTGTAATTTCCCTGCTAGATCTGCCCAGGCTAGCAGGCTTAAAGCTAGGGCTCCACAAGCTGCTGCCACAGCAAACACAGTATTAACATGCCCTCTCTCTGCATCTGCTTGTTCCCTTTCTACCTGCACTCCTTCCGTCTCTCCACATGCTTTTGTGACCACACCAGAGGAACAAGAAAGGGGCAGCTAGGCTCCAAGATGGCTCTACAGTCACCGTGCTCTCCAAGTTTACACCCATTCCCTCCCCTCTACCTGCAGTCCACCCCTTGCTCTCCAAGTCTCATCTCCTGTCACTTGAATCTTGGTTTGCATTTGCTCCCTTTGAGCCAATGAAAGCTACATCCCTTTCCACCTTATTTCTTGCCCTCTGTCCATTCTGGATCAGTCTTGAGAGTTTGCATGTTAACAACCTCTTATCTTTGTTTCCAGATAGCCAAACTGGTTTCTAATGCCCACCTCCATTTGCTCCCTAACTCAGTGCTCCAGTTGCTGGAACGGGCCATGTTCCTGAACACAGGATGCCAAAATGCATTCACTGCATAGGAAATGCATCAGCAGCAAAGATGACATAAATAGAAAAGTGGGGGCCAAACTTTTTGGCAGGTGCCACAAATTAGCTCTGTATCCTCCTTGAGTGCCACTTTGATCCTTTTCTCCCATCCAATCCACTGCTCTGCTTTCTGCTTCTTTCTCTGTTCTCCCAGCTTGATCTGATGTTCTGATTTCTACTTGCTGTCATATCTGCCATTGTAGTGTCTGTCCCCTTCCCAATCTGCCACATGCCACACATGGAGCCTGCCCCTGAAATACAGTAGCTTCATACCACAAGTTGGCACCCCTGAAATAGAGTAGCCTGAAGCATAATAGACACCTCTGGGACCTGAGACTCTTAGGTGCTGAATGCTATCAGAAAAGAACTGCATGGGAGTTCTTAAAAGTTCTTATCTTTATATTCAACACTTGGGGCTCATGTACACACCACAATTTTTGCCCTTTCATGCGCTGCAACTGCGTGTCTGTTTGCACGAGTGGGATTTCCTGACACTTTAAAAGTCTTTCTTGTGCATTAAACTAAAACGCCTCGGACGTAGCTTAGCTTGGCTCACCAGGAATTAAAGCACCGCATCCGTGGATTCACTGTGTGCAAACACAAAGGCACTCAAAAATGAGTAATGAGCCTCTTTGTCCACCAGATGGTGCGGCGACTTTTTTGTAGCTCACCCCTTCAAATTGCTTTTTTTTTCCTTGTGTGGTTTGCCAGCTCCCTGCTTCCACAGCTACATGGCAAGGCACGGGCATGGGGTGGATGTGGGGCAGGGCTGTACCATTCCGCTCTCCTGTGACGCCAGCCAGGGACCTGGCTTAATTTGTTCAAAAGCCTAGTATGTGTAAACACAGATGCGACGCTCCAAAATAAACAAGTTTAAATTGTATAAACCTATTTAATTTAATGAGGATTAAAACCCATGATATGTACAGGCGCCCACAGAAAAGAGGTGGTTTGAAGGCTCAAGTGAATATAGAGCTAGAAGCAGATCTTCACATTAAAAATACACGACTTTAAAAATATTCCAGCGCAGGATGGAATGTGCCCAATTAAGATGCATAGTGTATCAATTATATCGTCCAAGTGACTCGACTCTGCCTTCCTGTACAGAACATGATCTTTTTGAGATCCTCTGGTTTGTCACCAACATGCTGCTACATTCAGCTACAAGCTCTTTCTTCTAAAGATGTCTCTTAGCACGTCAAGGGCTCTGCTGGATGCATAACTAGGAAATTCAGTGTTAAGGCTGCAGCTGGCAAGTGCTGTCTGCAACCAGCTTAGCTGTGCCTATGTAGAGTCATATAGTATCGCATGCATACAGATC